AACAAAAGAGAAGATGGCTGGATGACATCTGGGACTGGATCGGATCATCTTTTGCAAATTCACTGAGGGCAGAGTTTCTTTCAGGCATCATTTCGGAGGAGGGGGAGGGGGGCTCTGCCCCCAGAACAAAATGGAATTTATATACAAAACATACTTTTACCAATGTCCACCCTTCCCCTGAAATTTAAGTCCCCACCCCTGAAAATTTCAAGTACGCCCACCAAAAAATCAATTATTTATATTTAATTATATTACAGTTTTGATGAATAATAACAATATTTGTGATCATGTGTGTCTAATTAGATGTACTAGTCACAGCTTTACTTATTTCCAAGTGTTATTCACTTTGATGGATGCTAGATTGAAAGAAAACTAGACTTTTGAACATAATTTCTGCATTTTTGACCATGGTATGGCTAACCCAATTGATCATTATCAGTATTTTTAGCTGTCCTAAACAATGTAATCATTGGTCTAACAATACAAAATCAGTATACAGTTTAAATTTCGCGTAAATAGCCATATTTCGTGATAAATGATTTTATTTTTCAATAAATGTACATGGGGCCGTTCGTTGCTAGCGTCCCATTTATGGGACGTTTTTTAAAAAATCGATATTTAAAAAAGTATTGATTTAAAAAAAAAATCCATAGTCATTCCTTCATTCAGTGCCCAAAAGCTAAACCATATCAAAAAATTATAAAAATTTGAGACCTTGGGATAATATGGGTTAATCTAACAAATTTATAATCCAAGTGTGTACTATATAATAACAGAGACTGTTCCAAAAATAAAACATAAAAAGACTGTCCTAAACGAATTAGCACCTGCTACATATTTTTTTCTGACATTACTAATCATCATCTTTTAAAGGATAATGCATCTTACGTTAGGGGGAATTTAATTGGCGTTAAGTTTTAGGGAACGAAAATCATACAGTGTAATTAATAATTTTCGAGCCGACCCGCAGCGTATCATACGCCGCTATTTAGATCTAGTTGTTTTATTTTCTACTTTTCAGTAATTCATAATTTGTGAATTCGACAGTACCAATGCTGCCACTGAAAATATTGAGCTTTAAAACACTACCCCCCCCTTCCCCCTTTCCCCTAACCCCGACCCTACACAACCCCCCCCCCCCACTTTCCCCTAACCCCGACCCTACACAACCCCCCCCCCCTTTCCCCTAACCCCGACCCTACACAGCCCCCCCCCCCCCCCGTGAAAGCAGCCTCCTCTTAGTTATTTCTTAGTTACCTCCTGTAAGTTTAAAATCGAACTAAATTATCTGCCCCTAATAGAAACCCGGCTCTACGGCTCTACAATTTGTAAACATTTAGCTTTGTAAACTTTTAGCGTGACCACAGCTCACCAGACAATGTGGGGGTGGGGTGGGGGTGGTAGTGATAGTGATAGAGAGAAAGAGAGGGGACTGCAAGGAGGCGTTTGCAGCTTGTTTTCTAACGGCTCCCAGAAGAGAATTATATATATAGATTCCGGACTGTCGCACACACACACACACTCTCTCACACACACACACACACACACACACACACACACATATATATATATATATATATATATATATATATATATATATATATATATATATATATATATATGTATGTATGTATGTATGTATGTATGTATGTATGTGTATATATATATATATATATATATATATATATATATATATATATATATATATATATATATATATATATATATATATATATATATATATACATATATATATATATATATATATATATATATATATATATATATATATATATATATATCTATATATATCTATATACATATGTATGTATGTATGTATGTATGTATGTATGTATATATATATATATATATATATATATATATATATATATATATATATATATATATATATATATATATATATATGGTAACTTATAATTAATTTTTAGAAGGGTTTTAAACTTATAATGTGTTTTATGTGTACGTTACATTAATTAAATCGTTTCGTTTAAAAACTAATCTCAAATGCTGGAATTATAAATATTGAATTTTCTAAACATCAGTTTAAATATAGGCAAAAAAAAATGAAACCTTAAGACAGTAACCATGTACAGGAGATTTTAATTTTATGTTAATCTTCTACAAACATACACATCAAAAAGATAATCTTCTACAAACATACACATCAAAAAGATAATCTTCTACAAACATACACATCAAAAAGATAATCTTCTACAAACATACACATCAAAAAGATAATCTTCTACAAACATACACATCAAAAAGATAATCTTCTACAAACATACACATCAAAAAGATAATCTTCTACAAACATACACATCAAAAAGATAATCGCTACGAACATTCCCATACAGTTCATTTTGTTTATGTTAAAAAAAATTGTTTATGTTTAAATAATTCAATGATTGTTATACATGTGTTTCTATTCCTGCTAAAAATCAGTGTATCGTACATAGAGTGTCTCCATCAAAATTATCACTCTGTATCGTCTTCGTGAACTCGTAGCATCTATCTACCATTCATTAATCAGGCAATTCTTTAATCTACCACTCATTAATTAAAAAAAACTCCTGAACTACCACTCACTCTTAGGTAACCCCTGAATCTATCACTCATTAATTAGGTAACCCCTGAATCTATCACTCATTAATTATGTAACCCCTGAATCTACCATTCATTAATTATGTAACCCCCGAATCTATCACTCATTAATTAGGTAACCCCTGAATTTATCACTCATTAATTATGTAACCCCTGAATCTATCACTCATTAATTATGTAACCCTTGAATCTACCATTCATTAATTAGGTAAACCCCTAATCTACCATTCATTAATTAGGTAACCCCTGAATCTACCATTCATTACTTAGGTAACCCCCTAATCTACCACTCATTAATTAGGTAACCCCTGAATCTACCACTTATTAATTAGGTAACTCATGAGAAGTCTTTCAATGTCAGTGTTACCGTTCACACACTTTTAATGTCAGTGTTACCGTTGACACACTTTTAATGTCAGTGTTACCGTTGACACACTTTCAATGTCAGTGTTACCGTTCACACTCTTAGACCTGCACCAATGTCGGTGGGGTGGGGGTAGGGTTTGTATTACTGGGGTGGGGGAATTAGGTGGGTGGGGGTTTGTGTACTTGAGGTGGTTGTGTTCTAGAGAGGGGGGAATTATGTTGGCTGGGTTGTGTACTTGGGGAGAGGGGGGGGGGATTATGTATGTTGGGGTACGGTGGTAAACGAGTAGGAAAGAACACTTTGAAATACTAACATGATAATTCAATGTGTTTTTTATTTATTTATTTACATACTTTAAATCTAGTTGGAGCTAAGTTTTTTAGAGAGGAGCTAAGATAATTTGACGCTACTGTTGGAGCTAAGTTGAGAGGAGCTCAAATAATGTAATGCTAGTGTTGGAGCTAAGTTGAGAGGAGCTCAGATAATTTAACACTAGTGTACCCAGACGAACAAATGGATCAGTCTGGCTCAAGATTGGCCTGACCACGCGCGAGACGTCAGGCTATATTTAGCCTGTCTGGCAAGATGACTGGATCAGGGGACACAACTTGTGTGATAAGATGTGGATTTCCTTGAACGTATTTCAGTTCATGTAAGTACAAAACTTTAAACTAAATGTTCCATCCAACACATCCACGGCAGATTCTAGATAATGTAAATAAAAATCTGATATTTTAAAAATATTATATTCATCAAACCTGGGTAACCACTGCTATAGACGAAGATACTACAACCAATGTGTGAAGCCACTAGTAGCCTGTGCTTAGTTAAACAACAAGTCAGATATATTTTAAACAGACGTGATTAGAGTTCTAATTTCAATTTGATGTTGGTTTTTATATCATTTCTATATAGTTTTTATGTGGATTCTATATGGTTTCTATATGGTTTTATATTGTTTATATATGGTTTCTTTTGGATTATATATGGTTTCTATGTTTCTATATGTCTCTATATGTCTCTATATGTCTCTATATGTCTCTATATGTCTCTATATGTTTCTATATGTTTCTCAAATGACACGGAATCCGGTTCAGGAGTATGACTCCCATTAACCAGGCAGGCCTCCACACGGCAAACTCCGACTAACTGGCAGTTATTGCGAGCTGTGGGCAGCTCGAAGATGTCGGGTTGAATGCCGCGCTTTGGTCGCTATTTTCCGTGGGTTCCCACTAGACTTGCCTTCCCCATCACCCGACGCAGGACATCGTCCCACCGTCGTGGTATCTAGCTAGATCGTGGACGGCATTCGGTCGTTTTTTAAAAACAGAGTCGAGGGGCTTCGGATTGCTCTAGCTGTCGTGTTTCTCCACCACGGTGGTCCAGACCCCCATCTAGGCCCTCGTGGTGTCATCCCACAACAACCCTGGCAGGAGATAACGCAGTTCTTGGCCTCGCACTTGGCGTGCCCGTTATTCCTAGGCGCTCCCTCTCGTCTGCTGGGCGGACTCGAGCTTTACTGCCGCTCCAGTACTTCGTACTACTCGTCCTGGGAGCTGTTCCTTGTCCGACTTCCCGTTCCAGTGTCCGGGCGGTACGCCTTCGCGGGAAGCCCTGGTGGCCCTGTCGCAAGCCAGGTCACCTAAAAACCGCCAGGGGGTGCAGGGCGGGGGCATCTAGCCAAATTTGGACGTCGGCCTTCGCGGTCAGCTTTTCGTGATTCCGTGGGTAAGTCGTAGCTATGGACACCTTTCCGTACCCCGCCGAATAGGGACATCCAGGTGACCAGGCTAGCGCACATCTCACACGAGGGGGGGTAGGCGTTTGTCTCGAGCTGCCACCTCCGTGGTTTCCGCTCCTGCTTGGGCTCTCGCCCGTTAGCCCGCCTATGAGCAGTTCCCCACATCCGTGGCTTTGGCGCGCGCTTTCCTCCCGCGTATCTACTTGATCGTCGGTAGGGGGGTCAAGGCGGTTCTGGTTGGAGCTCGGTTCTCCAAGGGCTTTTTCGAGTTCAGAACCCATGGTCCGCCACGCGGTAGTAGGAGAGGACACCAGACTCTCGTACGAAACTGCACACGTCCTTCATCAGGCCCCAGTTTCTGTACAGATACTTGTCCATGTCTTTGATCCCGTCTATGTGCTCCCGCCTCATCTGGGCCAGTGCAGGGCACTCTATAATGACATGCTCGACCGTTTCTACGGCATTACCGCAGTGTCGACATTGGTCATCACGGGTAATCTTCAGTCCACTCAGGTAGGACTTCGACGGACAGTGGCGTGTACGTAGCTGGGTGATGATGGACTGCTGCCATCTTTGCAAGTTCCACCATGGATCCGTTCTCGAGGGCTTCTTCATATGCTTGAAGACAGCCCGGCCTTTGGACCCTTCTGCCCACTCCTTTTCCCATTCCCGTTTGAAACTTTCTTTAAGCCTCACTAGACACTCGTTGTATGTAACGGGAATGGTAGCAACTACTTTCCGCGCCCCTCTATTCGCAAGTGCGTCTGCTTTCTCGTTACCTGCCAAGCCGACGTGGCCGGGCACCCATTGGAAGCAGATTCTTCTGCCTAGGATTTTCGCAATGCGATCGGCACCGTAAAGCATTGATAGGACGCATGAATCGTTGTCATCATTGCCGTAGCTGCCCATAGCTTGGAGGGCTGACATGGAGTCAGTGAAGATCACTGCTCCTTGTGCTACGGCATCTCCGCTTCTTACGAGATCCTCGATCTTCGTGAGCGTGGCCACGATGGCGCTAATTTCTGCTTCATAGTTGGTGCCGCCGCACGGTCCGCTCAAACAGCTGGTTCGGGTCACCGACCCGTCCCAATACTCAATATAGGCTCCGTACCCGACCCGCGTAAATCCCGAGGAGGCTGATCCATCGGTGTACGCTCTTATCCAGAAGGCCGGGTACCGCTCGGTTGCCGCTTCCGCGGCATATAGCAAATCACCGACGCTTGCGCTCTTCTTCAGCCCGCCCGGCAATTCGAGGCTTAGTTCCGGACAGTCAGGCAGTTCCATCGGGGGCCGTTCAGGTACGGTACTAATTCGGGCTCTGTTCTCAGGTAGGTCGTGTTTGGCCTGCAATGTTCTTGCAACATTGGCGAAGCTCTGTCGCTTGAGCCGCGTCCGTTCTTCAGCCAGAATGGAGTGCGATAGCTCAAAGTCGCCTAACCTTTCGAACCTCTCAGCCGTTTTCAGGACTGCCTTTTCTATCCGGAGCTTCAGAGGCTCAACGTTCGCTATTATTTCACAAGCTGGAACGGGCGTCGTTCTATATGCCCCGGTAATGAGACGTAAACCCTCGTTTTGGACACGGTCCAATGCTTCGAGGGTGGTCTTAGTCGCATAGGTCAGTACGGGAAGCCCGTACTCTATAGCCCCTCTCACGTACCCGATGTAAGCGGCCCTGAGCAGTTTAGCGTCGGCGCCCCACCTGGTGTGGGTCAGCTTTTTAAGAATGGCCAACCTCTTCGAGCTTTTTGCGCATAGTTCCTTCACGTGCTGTGTCAATGTTAACTTCTATATGTTTCTATATGTTTCTATATGTTTCTATATGTTTCTATATGTTTCTATATGTCTCTATATGTCTCTATATGTTTCTATTTGTCGCTATATGTTTCTATATGTTTCTATATGTTTCTATATGTCTCTATATGTTTCTATATGTTTTTATATGTTTCTATATGTCTCTATATGTCTCTATATGTTTCTATATGTTTCTATATGTTTCTATATGTTTCTATATGTCTCTATATGTCTCTATATGTCTCTATATGTCTATATATGTCTCTATATGTTTCTATATGTTTCTATATGTTTCTATATGTCTCTATATGTCTCTATATGTCTCTATATGTCTCTATATGTCTCTATATGTTTCTATATGTTTCTATATGTTTCTATATGTCTCTATATGTTTCTATTTGTCGCTATATGTTTCTATATGTTTCTATATGTTTCTATATGTCTCTATATGTTTCTATATGTTTTTATATGTTTCTATATGTCTCTATATGTCTCTATATGTTTCTATATGTTTCTATATGTTTCTATATGTTTCTATATGTCTCTATATGTCTCTATATGTCTCTATATGTCTATATATGTCTCTATATGTTTCTATATGTTTCTATATGTTTCTATATGTCTCTATATGTCTCTATATGTCTCTATATGTCTCTATATGTCTCTATATGTTTCTATATGTTTCTATATGTTTCTATATGTCTCTATATGTCTCTATATGTCTCTATATGTCTCTATATGTCTCTATATGTCTCTATATGTTTCTATATGTTTCTATATGTTTCTATATGTCTCTATATGTCTCTATATGTCTCTATATGTCTCTATATGTCTCTATATGTTTCTATATGTCTCTATATGTTTCTATATGTTTCTATATGTCTCTATATGTCTCTATATGTCTCTATATGTTTCTATATGTCTCTATATGTTTCTATATGTCTCTATATGTCTCTATATGTCTCTATATGTCTCTATATGTTTCTACAATATTGTGGGGAGGTCTGGTATACGAAGACCACAACACTCTAAGCGATCTGGGTAGCATAAGTCTCTTTAATCTCTGCAACTACAACCAAATTGTTACCTCCAACTGTCACCTTCTACCTCCAACTGTCACCTTCTACCTCCAACTGTCACCTTCTACCTCCAACTGTCACCTTCTACCTCCAACTGTCACCTTCTACCTCCAACTGTCACCTTCTACCTCCAACTGTCACCTTCTACCTCCAACTGTCACCTTCTACCTCCAACTGTCACCTTCTACCTCCAACTGTCACCTTCTACCTCCAACTGTCACCTTCTACCTCCAACTGTCACCTTCTACCTCTAACTGTCACCTTCTACCTCCAACTGTCACCTTCTACCTCCAACTGTCACCTTCTACCTCCAACTGTCACCTTCTACCTCCAACTGTCACCTTCTACCTCCAACTGTCACCTTCTACCTCCAACTGTCACCTTCTACCTCCAACTGTCACCTTCTACCTCCAACTGTACACACCTCCTTTCTCCCGCTCACAACACAACCGCTGTCACTCGACCAGTCGCTTCCCTTGTTACCCTCGTTCACTCTGTACAACAACATACACGTCATCACACCCAGCCTTGCTCACCACAACCGTATGTACACACACACACGCAGTGATCCGTCCCACATACACACCTTTCATACATACCCATCACAACACCACATACCCTCCACCTGTCCTAATAATATAAATATAAATATAAATATATATATATATATATATATATATATATATATATTTATATATATATATATATATATATATATATATATATACATAAAACTCAACGTTTCTACATAGCACATCACAAGAATGTAGAAGATTTACCACTATAATGGGACTGTTAAGTGATCCATGCAATAGCTTTCTTCAAATCCGCAATACATCAAACGCCGAATCAATGGACCCTGTACACCTAGTACAAAAAGACATGATGTACATCCAACATGTCAGATCAAACATCTGAAATATGTTGAGACAACACCAACGACAACCGATGGTATACTCGGCACCACCAGCCTCATATTTTGGCGTGGGCACAATCCACCTTCAATTCTCTCATCATTTACATCCCAAGTGTAAAACAATTTACACAGTAAAACATTATATTCAATGTAAATAACTATAAAGTTAAACATTTACATCCCAAGTGTAGAACAATTTACACAGTAAAACATTTACATTCAATGTAAATAACTATAAAGTTAAACATTTACGACCCAAGTGTAGAACAATTTACACAGTAAAACATTTTCATTCAATGTAAATAACTATAAAGTTAAACATTTACATCCCAAGTGTAGAACAATTTACACAGTAAAACATTTTCATTCAATGTAAATAACTATAAAGTTAAACATTTACGTCCCAAGTGTAGAACAATTTACACAGTAAAACATTTTCATTCAATGTAAATAACTATAAAGTTGAACATTTACATCCCAAGTGTAGAACAATTTACACAGTAAAACATTTTCATTCAATGTAAATAACTATTTATAAAGTTAAACACTTACATCCCAAGTGTATAACAATTTACAAAGTAAAACATTATATTCAATGTAAATAACTATTTATAAAGTTAAAAATTTAATTGGAAATGGATTTAACAAAGGAAACCGCTAATTCAAATTGCTTTCAACTTTGTGTGAGACGTCGATTCTCTCCCCTTCTTGACCCCCCCCCCCCCTTCTTTCTGGGGAGGTCAGGTATCTTCTATATAAATGATTTTCTCTTTATGGGGACCATGGGATACACAACGTAAACGCACGCCGTTACTCCCCCACTCTCTAGGCATATAGCTACAACCGCCATCCCCACCGTTCTGGTGAGCTAAGGTTCACCCTGAATGTTTACAATCATAGGTCCGGGTTGAATTAGTAGCGGCTATTAGGGGCAGATAATTTAGCTTTTGACGATTTGAAACTAAGGAGAGGTAAGAAGTTGTGCTTGATGTTTTCATTGTCGTCCGTAAACTGTCGTCACAGACGGCTGCTTTCACGGTGGCGGGGGGGGGGGGGGTATGGAAGGGAGGGTAGAGTCGAATTCACTAAATATGAAGTACTGAAAAGTAGAAAATAAAACAAATAGCAGCATATGATACACCGCTGGTCAGATCGTATTTTTATATTCTTTCTATACGGTTTCTACACGATTTCTATATAATTTCTATACAGTTCTATATGGTTTCTATATGTTTTTTTTATACAGTTTCTATATGGTTTCTATATGGTGTGCTGCAGAGTTTCTTCCAGGCATCTCTTCGGGTGGGCTCAGCCTCCCCCCTCCCCCGAAGAAAGTCTTTCGCCTCCTGCCCTTCCCCCCCCCCCCCGAACGAAATGAAACTTATATAGAAAATATATAATTTTAGCAGTGCCTCCCCCCCCCCCCCCCCCCGAAGAAAGTCTACCGCCCCACCTCGAAAATTTCAAGTGCCCCCCCCCCCCCGGAGAACAAGTCTGGAAGAAAAACTGGTGTGCTGCCATGTAGCCTGTCTGTGTGCTGTCATTTAGCCTATCTGTGTGCTAGCATGTAGCCCATCTGTGTGCTAGCATGTAGCCTATCTGTGTGCTAGCATGTAGCCCATCTGTGTTCTAGCATGTAGCCTATCTGTGTGCTAGCATGTAGCCCATCTGTGTTCTAGCATGTAGCCTATCTGTGTGCTAGCATGTAGCCTATCTGTGTGCTAGCATGTAGCCCATCTGTGTGCTAGCATGTAGCTCATCTGTGTGCTAGCATGTAGCCTATCTGTGTGCTAGCATGTAGCCTATCTGTGTGCTAGCATGTAGCCTATCTGTGTGTTAGCATGTAGCCTATCTGTGTGCTAGCATGTAGCCTATCTGTGTTCTAGCATGTAGCCCATCTGTGTGCTAGCATGTAGCCTATCTGTGTGCTAGCATGTAGCCTATCTGTGTGCTAGCATGTAGCCTATCTGTGTGCTAACATGTAGCCTATCTGTGTGCTAGCATGTAGCCCATCTGTGTTCTAGCATGTAGCCTATCTGTGTGCTAGCATGTAGCCTATCTGTGTGCTAGCATGTAGCCTATCCGTGTGCTAGCATGTAGCCTATCTGTGTGCTAGCATGTAGCCCATCTGTGTTCTAGCATGTAGCCTATCTGTGTGCTAGCATGTAGCCTATCTGTGTGCTAGCATGTAGCCCATCTGTGTTCTAGCATGTAGCCTATCTGTGTGCTAGCATGTCGCCTATCTGTGTGCTAGCATGTAGCCTATCTGTGTGCTAGCATGTAGCCCATCTGTGTTCTAGCATGTAGCCTGTGTGCTAGCATGTAGCCTATCTGTGTGCTAGCATGTAGCCCATCTGTGTGCTAGCATGTAGCTCATCTGTGTGCTAGCATGTAGCCTATCTGTGTGCTAGCATGTAGCCCATCTGTGTTCTAGCATGTAGCCTGTGTGCTAGCATGTAGCCTATCTGTGTGCTAGCATGTAGCCCATCTGTGTGCTAGCATGTAGCTCATCTGTGTGCTAGCATGTAGCCTATCTGTGTGCTAGCATGTAGCCTATCTGTGTGCTAGCATGTAGCCTATCTGTGTGCTAGCATGTAGCCCATCTGTGTTCTAGCATGTAGCCCATCTGTGTGCTAGCATGTAGCCTATCTGTGTGCTAACATGTAGCCTATCTGTGTGTTAGCATGTAGCCTATCTGTGTGCTAGCATGTAGCCCATCTGTGTTCTAGCATGTAGCCCATCTGTGTGCTAGCATGTAGCCTATCTGTGTGCTAACATGTAGCCTATCTGTGTGTTAGCATGTAGCCTATCTGTGTGCTAGCATGTAGCCTATCTGTTTGTCGCTAAAGATCAAAGGACGAAAGACATGTATCGCCGTCAAGTCAATGTTCGCTACTAACTGATCCATTTCACTTTATTTTGTTAAGTACGTTGGATCAGTTACTGAGTTAGTGACCTATGGTGTAAATGTCTTGAAAAAACAGGTTAATTCATTTGAAGGTTTTTCTTGACTTACCTGGTGAGCTGTACATTGTCTCTACCCTCTGAAATAATAGACATACGGCTTACTATGTAATCACGTGATAATCACGCACGTCTCAAAATTTGTGTCATCATTTCACCCTCACACTTCCCCCACATACTTCCCCCTCACATTTTACCTTCACACAATTTACCCACACACTTTACCATCACACACTTTACCATTACACAATTTACCCTCACACTTTACCCTCACACTTTACCCTCACACTTTACCCTCACACTTTAACATCACACTTTACCATCACACTTTACCATCACACTTTACCCCCACACAATTTACCATTACACAATTTACCCTCACACTTTACCCTCACACTTTACCCTCACACACTTTACCATTACACAATTTACCCTCACACTTTACCCTCAAACTTTACCCTCACACATTTTACCCTCACACATTTTACCCTCACACTTTACCCTCACACTTTACCCTCACACACTTTACCATTACACAATTTACCCTCACACTTTACCCTCAAACTTTACCCTCACACATTTTACCCTCACACATTTTACCCTCACACACTTTACCCTCACACACTTTACCTCACACACTATACCCTCAAACTTTACCCTCACACACTTTACCCTCACACTTTACCCTCACACACTTTACCCTCACACACTTTACCTCACACACTTTACCCTCACACTTTACCCTCACACACTTTACCCTCACACACTTTACCTCACACACTTTACCCTCACACTTTACCCTCACACTTTACCCTCACACATTTTACCCTCACACTTTACCCTCACACACTTTACCCTCACACACTTTACCCTCACACTTTACCCTCACACTTTACCCTCACACTTTACCCTCACACATTTTACCCTCACACTTTACCCTCACACACTTTACCCTCACACACTTTACCCTCACACACTTTACCTCACACACTTTACCCTCACACACTTTACCTCACACACTTTACCCTCACACTTTACCCTCACACACTATACCACCACACACTTTATCCTCACACACTTCCCCCTCACACTATACCCTCACACACTTTACCCTCACACACTATACCCTCAAACTTTACCCTCACACTTTACCCTCACACACTTCCCCCTCAAACTATACCCTCAAACTTTACCCTCACACTTTACCCTCACACTTTACCCTCACACTTTACCCTCACACTTTACCCTCACACACTTTACCCTCACACACTATACCCTCAAACTTTACCCTCACACTTTACCCTCACACACTTCCCCCTCACACTATACCCTCAAACTTTACCCTCACACTTTACCCTCACACACTTCCCCCTCAAACTTTACCCTCACACTTTACCCTCACACTTTACCCTCACACACTTCCCCCTCAAACTTTACCCTCACACTTTACCCTCACACTTTACCCTCACACTTTACCCTCACACTTTACCCTCACACTTTACCCTCACACACTTTACCCTCACACACTATACCCTCAAACTTTACCCTCACACTTTACCCTCACACACTTCCCCCTCAAACTTTACCCTCACACTTTACCCTCACACTTTACCCTCACACTTTACCCTCACACTTTACCCTCACACTTTACCCTCACACTTTACCCTCACACTTTACCCTCACACACTTTACCCTCACACACTTTACCCTCACACTTTACCCTCACACACTATACCCTCAAACTTTACCCTCACGCTTTACCCTCACACACTTCCCCCTCAAACTTTACCCTCACACTTTACCCTCACACTTTACCCTCACACTTTACCCTCACATTTTACCTTCACACTTTACTCCACACAATTTACCATTTCACAATTTACCCTCACAATTCCCCCTCAAACTTTACCCTCACACTTTACCCTCACATTTTACCCTCATACATTACCCCACACAATTTACCATTACACAGTTTACCCTCACAATTCCCCCTCAAACTTTACCCTCACACTTTACCCTCACACACTTTACCCTCACACTTTACCCCCACACAATTTACCATTACACAGTATACGCTCACACACTTTACTTTCACACTTTACCCTCACACACTTTTGTCTGCCCCTCCTCCCATGTCTGATTGTCTGCCCCTCCTCCCATGTCTGATTGTCTACCCCTCCTCCCATGTCTGATTGTCTACCCCTCCTCCCATGTCTGATTGTCTGCCCCTCCTCCCATGTCTGATTGTCTGCCCCTCCTCCCATGTCTGATTGTCTGCCCCTCCTCCCATGTCTGATTGTCTGCCCCTCCTCCCATGTCTGATTGTCTGCCCCTCCTCCCATGTCTGATTGTCTACCCCTCCTCCCATGTCTGATTGTCTACACCTCCTCCCATGTCTGATTGTCTGCCCCTCCTCCCATGTCTGATTGTCTGCCCCTCCTCCCATGTCTTCCCCTCCTCCCATGTCTGATTGTCTGCCCCTCCTCCCATGTCTGATTGTCTGCCCCTCCTCCCATGTCTGATTGTCTGCCCCTCCTCCCATGTCTGATTGTCTACCCCTCCTCCCATGTCTGATTGTCTGCCCCTCCTCCCATGTCTGATTGTCTTCCCCTCCTCCCATGTCTTATTGTCTGCCCCTCCTCCCATGTCTGATTGTCTGCCCCTCCTCCCATGTCTGATTGTCTTCCCCTCCTCCGATGTCTTATTGTCTGCCCCTCCTCCCATGTCTGATTGTCTGCCCCTCCTCCCATGTCTTCCCCTCCTCCCATGTCTGATTGTCTGCCCCTCCTCCCATGTCTGATTGTCTGCCCCTCCTCCCATGTCTGATTGTCTGCCCCTCCTCCCATGTCTGATTGTCTACCCCTCCTCCCATGTCTGATTGTCTGCCCCTCCTCCCATGTCTGATTGTCTTCCCCTCCTCCCATGTCTTATTGTCTGCCCCTCCTCCCATGTCTGATTGTCTGCCCCTCCTCCCATGTCTGATTGTCTGCCCCTCCTCCCATGTCTGATTGTCTTCCCCTCCTCCCATGTCTTATTGTCTGCCCCTCCTCCCATGTCTGATTGTCTGCCCCTCCTCCCATGTCTGATTGTCTGCCCCTCCTCCCATGTCTGATTGTCTGCCCCTGCCACCATGAAAGTTTTTATTGAATAAAGTTCAATCCAAATTTCCCTCTGCCCGCCATGGTTCCGGGATGAATCGATTATTTGTGTGAGCAACTGTTGGGTAGAAAATGTCAGGGGAAAATCGATTTTAGTCAACAACAAATGTCTGTATTAGGGTGAGTTGAAGGGTTGGGTCAAAGGTCAAGAAGGATCACATCTCGATCGATGGTATAGGCTCAAACATCTTAACCCTAACCTAGTCAGCACAATAACTCTGTCCCTAACTACAAACATCTTAACCCTAACCTAGTCAGCACAATAACTCTGTCCCTAACTACAAACAACTTAACCTTTACCTAAATAAGAAAAACTATTAACTCTTACCTAAATCAGAAAAGATTAAAAATTACCAAATCTCATTTGCTTGCCGAGGTCTATGTTCTTATGTTTCAGTTGGCACCTACCTGATAAAACGGGTAGGAAAAAAAGTGGTTTGAGACAGTAGGCGGGGAGGGGGGAGAGTGGGGGTTTGAGCGTTGTAGCACGCTGATAGCGGGTACCTAATTGTTGCACTAGAATCAAGTGTGAAGTAAGGACCCTAAAGATATCAAGTTGAAATACAGCCAGTTGTCGTTCCTGTGGGCTATACGACGTTTGTCGATACAAACACCACCACATGAAGACGTGATTCGAGATTTGACGGACCGACATACGTTTTACTTAGTTACGTCATCGGCATTATCAAGATATATATATATATATATATATATATATATATATATATATATATATATATATATATATATATAGATATAGATATAGATATATATGATTGCAATAAAATAAAATACCAATCATTCTTATTGTGTCTAAGATTTCTCTAGGATAAGGATTGTGTCTAAGATTTCACTAGGATAAGGATTGTGTCTAAGATTTCTCTAGGATAAGGATTGTGTCTAAGATTTCTCTAGGATAAGGATTGTGTCTAAGATTTCTCTAGGATAAGGATTGTGTCTAAGATTTCTCTAGGATAAGGATTGTGTCTAAGATTTCACTAGGACCTAACTTTAGCCCCGATGGGATAAAACTAAAATTATGTACACAAGGCTTGGAAGTTGGACCCATGTCGGGGTAAGTTTCTTAAAACTCATGTGATCTAAGACATTTATATGACCTAAGTCTAACATTATTACCACTCGCAAACTCATGTCGAAAGTATTAAATATTTGTGACCCCAATATTTGTGACCCCAATATTTGTGACCCCGGATGAAAGAACAAGATCACCATACCTCTCACACACAAACACACACAAACACACATACATACAAAAACAAACACATACTCATACACTCATACGCACGAACACACACACAAACCTGAACACATGTTACTTATAAGGTTCTCAAAGGATTACAAATGTAGGCTACCTTCATCGCACATATTAGTTAGGAATAAAATTGGGGAGAGGTGTGTCCAATTATTCATTAAAAAGGCGTTGAAACTATTGGTGTTAGAATCTAACCATACAAGTAGAAACCAAACTATTGGTGTTAGAATCTAACCATACAAGTAGAAACCAAACTATTGGTGTTAGAATCTAACCATACAAGTAGAAACCAAACTGTTGGTGTTAGAATCTAACCATACAAGTAGAAGCCAAACTATTGGTGTTAGAATCTAACCATACAAGTAGAAACCAAACTATTGGTGTTAGAATCTAACCATACAAGTAGAAACCAAACTATTGGTGTTAGAATCTAACCATACAAGTAGAAACCAAACTATTGGTGTTAGAATCTAACCATACAAGTAGAAGCCAAACTATTGGTGTTAGAATCTAACCATACAAGTAGAAGCCAAACTATTGGTGTTAGAATCTAACCATACAAGTAGAAACCAAACTATTGGTGTTAGAATCTAACCATACAAGTAGAAACCAAACTATTGGTGTTAGAATCTAACCA